GTTACTTTTTCAGTGAAGTTCTTTACTCTGTAACTTCGGTTTGCTGTATGGTGGGGGGGGGGGGGGGGGGGTGGGTGGTGTCACATGACTGTGTGTAACTGTGAGAACAGCAATTCTCACATCTGCCCTCAAACAGCAAATCTTTCCTTTCAGCTAAAATCTCGAACAAATTTAGGTCTTTAGAGACAATTTAAAAATAAAGATAAAATTTAAACATTTGCTCATCATTTAACCAGCTTCCACTACATCTTCAACAACAAGTGAATCCATCCCAGACTTGAAAGGGTTCAAGCAAAATGTTTGATCACAAGCCATTGCGTTTCTCCTTAAGATAATTTTCCACGAGGAAAAATGCTCAAAATAATGGGCGGCACGTCAGCTCGTGCCCAATACGTCACGTTTTGGTTAACGCTGAATGGATTCATGCAGACAGATGAGTGAGATCAGAGACAGAATTCACCACTTTTTTCTCAACAAGCACAAAAAGCTAGCGCGAGCCTCCACAAGCAAAATGCATCCTTAGCTATTAACAGAATGGCCCTTTGTGAAATTGTCACTGAGGAACGCAAATGATGATATCATCAAAAACAAATATGACATTAATAGCTTAGCAACAGACTGGCAGTAGACCAGTTTGCCCGCGTGCTACTTATTGGAACCAGTCAGCAGCTTTTGAGAATGCCCAGGTTTATACAAGGAAGTGGCATGTACAATTGATGCTGAATAGACAATGCACATAAGGGAACAGCCAACCTTACAATTAATTGAGGCAACCTAAAACATGCCACGCGGGCCTGCCCGAGACCTGCATTTCTAGAACACAAGCAGCTTCTGAAAATACTGGATTGTGCACATCTCCTGCAAGAACCCACGTGAGATTTTAGATTGGGTTTGTTTATGGCTTGCTTGTCCCTCCCCAATACACACTATGTACAAATAAAGTCAGCCAACAAATGGGACACGGTCCCTTTAAACCATCACCAACAAGCCCAATACCCTTCTCAAAGTCAGTTGTACGATAGCATTCGAGTGAAATGCTTTTCAATGATCTGTATAGTTGCTAAGATGGTCACAATATTGTTAGTGTTTTTTTTCCATTTTTTGATTTTTTTTCCTTTTTTTTAAAATACAGGTTCCATCTATTGACGATACTGTAATCCGGACAGTTTAGCAAACATTCGTAGCCAGCTTGTGTGATCTGAGGATCTCCGGTTGTGGAAATGAATATGTGCGAAGCAGAGGAAGGGATTGCTAGTTCAAAAGGTCACATTGATTTTAAACAGCAAAATAAATCAGACCCAGAAAAGACCCTTGTTTTGGGGCCTGCTATGATGCAACAGCTTTGGCAACCAATTTTGAGACTCAGCAATGATCAAACATGATAGAAACAGCCTACATATCACATCTCCACCCCACTGATCTTTGGCTCTTAATGGGTTAATCCTAACCCTATTTTGTACTCCTTATGTCAAAAGCAATCCTGCTAACAAATTAACATTAAAAAGAGCCTGATTGAGGATTGTGTCAAAAGACAGCAGTGGTAAACAGCTTCCAGAGCTATATAGCTTACTCAACTGGGTGATTAATGCATTTGGGGCAGAATGTAAAGCTCTGGGAAGAGCAGGATCTCAACAAGCTTCTCGGCTTGAAATTTACTTTCCAACTAATCAAATTAATTTGAAATCAATTTGATGGCTTTGTTTCCATTTCTGGGTAGGGTGAGAGAGAGAGAGGCAGAGAGAGAGAGGGGGGTGAATTCTCAAGAAGGAACCCTTGCACTAGCTAGGTGACACTGACCTCAAAGTTACCCCCGTTGTAAATTATTGCTGTTTAACTTTGCACGATTTCAAGGCTCCAAACCAACAAATCACCCTCCCATTTGTTTAACAGATGTTTATGGAGTACTTATTGGGAGCCAACACTAAATTTCTCTCTCAGAAAAGGGAGGGAATTTCACTTGCTTTGGGAACAATTCAGAATCCTTTTTATAGCCCTTTAGCAACAGCATTTGGGCCTAGACTACCTTGAGGGGCAGAAAATTAAGCATCTCAATTAGTTATTCTACAGCTTTTTCAAATATTGGATGGTTTAAGGCTTACACCTTCTAAATCTGAATAGCAAACACACTCACCAATGAAACTTACGTACCTGCATTGATCTACAGCCGAACAGTGCGTATGATCCATCAAGTAGCTCTTAGCCTCTCTATTTGTTCATCAAATCCTGGAATCGGCTATCCAAACTACATGGTGAATTACAGCAGTTCTCAGTTGTAATAGTTGGTGGAATTTTTCAGGGGGGGGGTAACTGCTGATCCTCTTACACAGGAAAGACGAAACTTCACTCACTGGACATAAAAGTGTCAAATACAATTAGGCATTTTCTAGAAACTGGAAGAAAAGGTAAAGTTTGCCTGTAGTTTCCTTAAATTTGTAACCATAAATCTTACCAATAGGAAGCACGAGGTTTAATAGCATAGGAATCTCCCAGTTGTAAAAGCTTTAGCTCTCAGGGTTGTGGGACATGGCTACACTTCTAAGCCTTACTATTGAGTCAATCAGGCTGGTCAACCTCCAGAATCATTCGATTGTTGAGGATTTGTCTGGCAAGATCAACCCCAGGAAGAGCCTGTTTTACTTCTTTCAAAGAGTGAAGAGCTGTCCCAGTCTGTGATGGCATGATTGAGCCTATCCATCAGTTCTCTTCTGTAGATACTTCTCCACATTACTTTAAATTGATTTATTTAGACATTTGCCTGGTTCCTGATGCATAGAGGAGGCAGTTACCACTGACACAATTGAAAAGCCAGTGGAGTGTCCACTGTACCCTGTGGGTTACAGAGGGCGAATAAGTACACGTGACTGACCAATACAAATGGAGGTCCTATTAGCTGTTCTGGGGTGTTTTAACACAGTCTTGGAAAAATTATCGGTTTCTTCCATTCCCATAAGCAAGGAGGGGGATTTTTTCAAACTACAGTAAACAAGCACTGAATTCCCTACTAGTACCTCTGCCCCCCCATTCCCCTTCTCCCAAATTCAAAACAGCAATCATATTTGCAAGCCCACTGTTTCAATTAATTGATATGGCAACTGTGGCTTGCTTTCTCCATCACCTGCTCCTCGAACCATCGAGCAATCCTCATTCATATAAAGTCTTGCGTTATTAATCTGGCAATTTAGTCTCTGATCACCGAGCATTTGTTTGGGGGTGACCTTATATTTTCAGCTGGTGAACCTGGGTGGAACGAGCAACCTTTCCCTCTGCGAGGACATTGTGTTGTGGTTCTGTGAATTGTGGAGGTTTCCAGGATACTGTACTGTCTCTCAGACTGTTGAATGTGAGATGTATTTTATATATAATATAATATATATATAAAAAATTAAAAGAGTGAGGTAGATAAATGCTTGAAAACATCAACAAAAAAAAGTTGCCCTGTCAGGTAACGTTAAACAAACTCTTCTCTCAGTACTGGATACAATTTGGGGCATTTACAGTGATTTTAACTGATATGGACAAAATAAATTAAAAAGAAATCCTACATAGAATACCTTCTCAGTTAACAAACAAAGGAAAATACTATGGGGGCAGTGGCCCGAAACAAAAAAAGGGGAAAGAAAGGAACTATTCTATATATATATATTATAAAAAAAACAAAAAATAAAGCACTACAATCTGTTACCTCCAGTCACAATATCAGTTTTTATAATCATTTTCTCCTCTTGTACTGATGTTAACATCCTTCCAGTCTAGGGAGGATGGAAACTATTTCTTGAATAACAACAACTCTTTCCCCCTCCCCCACCCAACCCCACCCGAAAAAAAATCATCTTCTCGGTTGTTCAATGCCTGAAACTACTAGAAGCACACCGACCCAAGTAATCCTAAAGCATCAATGTTTCCAAAATGTGATGAGACACTGGGTGTTTAGTTGGATTTTGCCGGAACAAGGCTCTCTTGGGGAGAAGTGCCCTTGGTAAAAACAAGAGATGCAACAAGCTGAAATCAAGAGAACAGTGATTGTGAATCTCGTGCACGTCAACAAGCTTCCACTGTGCTCCCACAAGCGTCTTGGCATTTCTGAGGTGAGCATTGGACTGTGAGCAAAGTCAGCGCTGTTCTCAAAATGGAAATTTGGATACCACCTTCACTTCCCTGCCGTTCCTCACGGAGCACTGCCTGATAGCTAACGCCTCAATGGAAGGTGAACACTATCTTCAAACCATTAGCTTCTCTGTCACTAAGCGTCACCGGGAACCACTGCCTCTTAATATGCAACTCGAAGACATCGCTCACAGCGAAAATTGGGTGTCAATCCTACCAGTTCACTCACATTTTGGCAAACTTTTTTTTAAGCTCAATTGCGTTGCCACTGGTAAGAGACTTAAGAGAAGTTTTAAAGATCGCTCTGGACTGCCAGACAAGATTTGTTTTCACAGAGCTCCAGTTGGTTAAAACAACAAGTGGCATTGCACACAGAGCATTGCAGTCTGTATTACCGGCACCTCAATCTGTTCATTTTCTTAACGTTTTGGAAAAAAAAATCTGGCCAAGAGGGAAATTTAGAAAAAAATAATATGCAAATAAGGAAAAAAAATACAAAAAAATGGGATTTGAAGCCGAGCTGGTCACAAAACTAATTCAACTGAAGAAAATAGAAAAATATTGATTACATAAATGAATGAATTTGTTTTTTAAAAAAAAGGCAGAAGGAGGGAGAGGGGAAAAATATGAGAGAAAACAATGTTTATAACATGACAAAATGAATATGAACACTGAGCAAGACATGTACTAGTATTAAACTGATTTGACCTGAGTATATTTCACGCCCTGTACTCAATCAGATGTGAGCTCACGAGATTCCCCTCACTGAGCCCTGATCATCGAGAACGCTTCAAAGTCGTGTGTAAAGCCAACAGACACGAGAAAACGTATCCCATTTTTTTAAAAAAAGGCAGCAGTTCATGGTGAACAAGCACAAGCGTTAACCACCATTAGGGGGGGGGGGGGAAATAATTCATAAAAAATAATTTTACACTATAGTACAAAGCATTAGAAACTGTCTTGAAGAACAAACAAAAAGCAAAGTAGGGGCGGGGGGGTAAACAGACCTGAAAGTAATGTAGAATTCATCCCCGGAGTTAAGAAAAAAATATATAGCAGCTTCTCTGTATAGACAGATGGATAGGTGAACCATAAAAAAAGTTACAAAAGTGAAACTAACAAGGGGTGTATGCAAAGGATTGATGGTCAAACATAGAACTGTAAGACCGTTCTACACTAGAATAACAGTAATCGCTGAACACTCTGGAGAACACAGAACTTAACTGCTCGTGGTTTCTTTCTGCTGTTCCTTCGCACCTAAATAGGCACCTCAGTCCTCCATGTGTTCTCCCGTGAAATGTAAGTGTGTGAACGGGAACGGTGACTCACTCGTACCTTTCCCCAAGACGTTGCTGAAATTCGACGATAATGAGAAGTTTGGGGGGAGGGGGAGAGAGTAAGTAAGATTATGTAGATCCCAGTGTCGATTGATGTAACTGGTTGGTCGATGAGATTTTCTTTCCCCGCCCCCAATGAAACACTTGCTTGATTTTCTTGCTTTTCTAGGAATCGAAGTAGATAAGAGAGAAAAAACAAACTTTTCTTTCTAAAATTTGGCAAAATTTGGCAGCGGTGTGAGTGAAAGAGAGAGAGAGAGAGCGAGAGAGGACGAACTCCAGACAAGAAATGCACTGCAAGTTCCAGAACAATCAGTCAAGGATCAGATCTGTAAAAAATATATATATATAAAGACCTGTAGTGATAAGCCAAGGCTCAACAGTAAGGAGCCTGGCTGGCGTTCCAATGAACAGTGCTTCTCCATTCAACTCAATGGCAGATATGCTTAGACTATGAAGCAGCAAGATGCCAAAGTTCGAGTGATCAGTTGAGCCTTGGGTTTGGCTCACGCTCTCTGGCATTATCAGCTTTTTTAGGGAAAAAAACTGTTTGCATATGAAAAAATAATTTGTGTGGTGATTAAACGAAGCCTCTCCACTGTGCAGCAATGGCAGTTTGTGATCCACTGAGGTACAGTAGGTTTTGTATTGTATTACTTTCGCCTTTTTCTGGAGGATCAACAGACCGTTGACTGGGGCAAAGGCAACGCTCTCTCATTCTTCCTCCCCCCGTTCATGTGAGCGTACGGCTGCCTCTCTTCAAAGCTGGAACGAAGGACAACGCCTGGTCCGTTTTCCAATTTGTGTCCTGAGTGCTTGTCGGAGTTTTGGATTGCGGATGAAGGGTCCAGAGGAATGTTTTCCATGTCTTCGGCTTCAAACTCCTCGGTGTCATGGGGTTTGTAATCTTCGCTGTAGAAGAATGAGACCTCTTTGAAGGTGGGTTCCAGGTCGTCTTTAATGCTCTCAATGATTTCCGTGAAGGAAGGACGCATCTTGGGATTGTATTGCCAGCACAGTCTCATGAGCTCAAACCTAAGAATAGAAAAGTAGGGTTACAACGTTTACCTACGAATCTTACACCTTTCAAATGAATTACTGTGTCTCTGTGCAACGACCAACACCAGAACATCTTAGGAACAGTTAATGCTGCACAATTCTCTTTGTGTTTCAGGACATCAACCCATGAACTTTCTGGCCTTGCCTGCCCTCTTCCTGCACTCACCCAGGCAAGGGAGAATGAATGGGGTAGGCGGGGAGGGTAGGAGATGAAACAGAGAAGGATAAAATGATCCTCATCCTAGAATCTCTAGTGTCCAATTCACATATATTTAAACAAACCAACTATCTCTAATACATCCTTACCATTTGAAATGTTACTAAACGCTCGGGAAAGATGAACAAGGTTTAGCAGTGTGCGTCATTTGGATCTCATCAATATATTTTAGCACACAACACCTATGGTCCCTACAGTGACTTATACTTGATGTTCCTACACTCTCTTTCCTCCCAAATTCTTCCTTCAACGTTGCCATGCCAGAGAAACACATTACAGTGTACCTACAAGCTTATGTATTTAATTCTATGCTGTCACAAGATCAAACATAATTATTAGACAGTACCAAAATAAATGTAGCATTTTTCAAAAGAGGAAACAAAATACTGAAATAAAATGGATTGAGATAAATGTATTTCAAAAGCCATTTCTCTCTCTGAGCTGATGCCTTCTTACTTTTCAGCAGCCCATCTGTCTCCGAATAGATACAACAGCTGTTACTACATTACATGGCCCACACACCCCCCTTCACCTCCGCTCGGGACTCTGTTCAGTGGGCTAAGGAAGGGACTGAAGCACAACACCCTACCAGTGTGCCTGCCTGAGTGTGTGACATCAGGGTGAATAACAGCATGTGACAATCCCCACACCCCTCTGTCCATCAGCCAGGAGACATCTATTTGGGAAAACTGCTGTGCCAGACCATACAAGGACATTCACTGTCCTTAAGAGTTGGATATATATGTGGGGAGCGGGCATCTTTATATTTATCTATAACATATCTGTAACCCGGAGAAACCCTATTTAGCTTCAACCAGTTTACAAAGCATCCTCCAAATAGGAAAAACAAATGATTTGGAAATCAGAAGCTATTTGAGAGTGCAGGAATATAGTGGGCTTCAATGCACTAAATAGCTTTATCAAAAACAATCTGCCAAATGTTATCTTCCCATGCAGCTACGATCCTTTTCCCTTTGCTGGCAAACAGGCCTAAGGGCAATCATCACTCCCTAGTTTCTGACGCAAGTGGCCATTGTTTATCCATCTACCTTCACAGTAAACAATGACCATATTGGGGTGGTGGCCATCACAACCCAACCTGATCAGCAACATCCATAAAAGCACCTTTCAGCAAATGGCAGGTCTGTATGTGTGTGTGTGTGTGCGTGTGGAGGACGAAGAGTCTCCAGAGAGGGACCAAAAGTGTGAACCTAGACATTTCTTCTCCCTCCCTCACCCCCAGAGCACAGGATTGCTGCGCTCAATAGTTGCCCTGACTTCTGCCATGAATGAGATGAGCTGACTCAGCACAAACCAGAGATTAAATCTGCAAACCAAAAGAAAAATAAGACCACCTGATCTTAGCCAGGACAGCAGGTTACAATTACAATTATAATTACAATTGGACTCCTGGTTATAGATATGTTATAAATAAATATAAAAAGTGGGTGGTCAACTTCACTGGTGGGTGGGGGAAGAGGGCAAACCCTAGTGAGATGAGTTCCTCCTCAACGACAAATAAATTCACACTCAGCTTCAGTGCCAGACTCATGGGAAAAAAACACCGATTATTTTCAGCCGATGGAAATCAGCAGTGTGAGTTGAACTTGAGTAGAACTTTGGTTTCGCAACGGAGCTGCTCCACATGACGCAAAGAAGTGTTCCTTAACAGTTGATTCCCCCTTTCTTCCTAACCCCATACCACACACCCAAACAACAGGACACCCATGTCCTCTTGCGTGACCTCTGTCACGCCATTTTAGTTTACCTCCTCCTGCAATTTGCAAAGCTCTGAAATTAATCTCCACACCACTCAATGCTAATGTCAACAGGAACCCTCAGCAGACTCATTAAGGGAAGGTATGCAGGACAGCAAATCACATGTCAAGTGGACACAGAGCACAAGCCAATAAAATACACTGCTTGTTATTTGAGACTAACCCTCTCACTGACCTGGAAATTGCTTTTAAAGGCAAACTCGATCTGACCAACCTTATCCTTTTATATTTTTATCCTGCTTTTGTTACGTTCCTCTTGATGATTCATAGAGACTCTTCTTCCCTAAGTGTCAGGTCAGGATCAGTTGGTAGCACTCTCACTGCTGGGTCAGAAGGTTGTGGGTTCAAACCCCACGTCGGGACTTTGAGCTCAGAGTTTAGGCTAACACTGGAGGAGAGATGCATTGGTGGAAATGCTGTCCTTCAGATGAAACATTATTCTGAGGTCCCTTCTGCTCATTTCTCAGATAAATAATAATAATCCTTGCATTTGATATAGCGCCTTATCATGTCTTCAAGACGTCTCAAAGCACTTCATAGAATATACAGTAAAGTGTTGTGACTGTGTGTTTTGTGGCGAAACGTGGCTACTAATTAATGATGTCATGATGGCTGTTACAGATGTCATGACATGATTAGAAAAACAAATAGCGCCGATTGGTGTGGAGATTCACCTCCACGAACCTCAGCTGCCCTCTTCTACCTCCTCAAGTGAGCATGTTCCGTATGGTCAAAATATTCCACCGCTGGAAGTAACTCCTGTTAACAGTGGCCATTTTTATTCAGAGTATCAGTTGCTGTCACACTGCCAACACGATCCAATTAAATTCCACACTACGATTCCTCACTGCAATGTACCTCGCATGCAGTAATACTGTGCTATTGGGCCCTGGTATTTATATCCTGTCACACTACACAGATTTCGGATGCAAACTGCTGACCTGAATGAGTCCCTTGTGCCTGGGACTGTGAAAGACTAACAGCTGTCAATAAAACAGCAATCTGGGCAGGTCTGACAGCAGAAGGCCAGGGCAGGAGAGAGAGAGAGACTCATCAATTTTTACCAATTCAAAATGGGTTTTTATAATCCCTACACTCAGCTGGTTACAAAATACAGTTTTAGTTCTTTGATGTAAAGATCGAATATTTTTTGTTCTTTCTTTCTCCCCATCTTTCCCCCTCCTTTTCTAGAGGCATTGACTCGTGCTGCGGAATTCCCTGGACGCCCACTGATACCACAATGGGAGCCCAGATAGAAAGACTCACAAGGGTATTCTTTGCTACAAGAAAGTGTAGCGTCCATTTTTTTCCTCCAATGGTATATGCTTGCATGCTCCTCTTATTAAGTGGAGCTCCATGGGCACTGGTTAACCTCCAGCACATTGTCCATGAGGCCATTATTCATGTATGAGCCTTGACAGTAAGTGCTGGCAAAACTGACCTGGCTCTCCCACACAATCAGTAGAAGGTGATGAAAAGAGACCAGGACCCCTGGATTGCTTTCACCTCTCCAAGAAAGGCTGGGGTCTACTTAGCCTCCCATATAACCCAACAAAACATAGTCAATTCACTTTGCAGTATATTCTGTCAAGCGCTTTGAAACGTCTTGAAGACGTGATAATGGGCTATACCAAATGCAAGGATTATTATTATTATTATCTGAGACCAGCAAACTCAGCAAGGACCAGAATTCAATCCACTTGGTCACCCACAGAAGTTAGAACATTTTGGAAATAAGTACCCGAGTAACTTACAGGCTGTCAGGACAATTGTCTGGTCTCTCCAGTAACCCCCCCTCCATCACAAAGCGCAGGACCTGCTCGTTTGACATGCCCTGGTACGGCTGCTCCACCAAAGTGGCAATCTCCCACAGCACAACTCCGAATGACCTGAAACACAGAGGTAAGAACACAGTTTCACAAATTCAAATCATTTCATTGTAGCCAGAGTTCTCTCTTCTCTCTGGCGAAACGGAACAGGGGAGAGTTAGCACAAGTAAAGAGTTAAAAAAAAAGTTGAAATGTTCTCCCCTTTCCTTTCCAGAAGATGCTGACTCGCAGGAGAACATTTCCACACACATTAACAAGGCTTGTGGGGAACTCTTAGGTAACACACAAGCACTCTAATTAAACTGAAGTTAAGAGGAATGCTGATCCCTCCCCTCTTCAATGCCTGGATTATAGTGAACTAGAATCTTGGTAATATCAGGGTTGAGCAGAGGAATCAAAGAGGAGAAATAGCCCGTTAAAAGTCTGACCGAGTTTCTGAACATTTTAATGTCATTAATGGATTAGATGTCCTCCTGTGTGGCGCTGCCCTTTGTCCTAACAGCGACGCAGAGCGGGAGGCACGCATTAGTCATCCCACATCCAAATGCTTTAATGGAGAGAAGGCCAACTCGTGGGCCACATAACACATGCGTAGTCAATGGGGGTGCAAGTTGGTCATCCCTGCTTTAATAGAAGCAACTAAATCTCTTTGGTTCCACACAACACTGTTCCCAATCCGTCCCCAACCCTCACCCCTCACCTTGCCAACGCAGACCTAATCCATCCATTGTCGTCATTACGTCCCCAGCCCTAACCTGCATCCCCAATTCTAATCCATTTCCCCATGTCCTTATCCAAAACCCACATCCCCAGTCCGAATAAAACGCTAACCCCTAGTACTAGCCCTAACCATTCTGACACACAACAGCTTTCTGGACTGCTCCAATAAACTGCACTGCTGGAACCACTCCCTCCCTCCATAAACAAACGTCTTCTCTGGCAATTGACACATGTAATTACAGCAACTTCAAACGTCTCGGGCCAGCAGGACGTGGTCAGGTGATGCTTTCACACCGAGGGACAGCTAGTTCTATAGCAGCCCCAGTAGCAGCAGGGTGATTCAGAACAGATTTGCAGTCTAGTGTTTTTGACGTCTGATTAGCAGGGCTTCCTTGCAATTTCAAACGAAGAAAACAATTTAGCTTTTACTGCCTAGAATGCAAACGTTGCAACGCTGAAAGGAAGAATTCAGACGACCTCATTAAACTTTCTCCGTTAACTGTTCTTAGGCGTCCCAGCATTTGCAAGGTTCCTAGCCTGCTGTCTTTTTAAACCAATCTGGGTGTTACAGGTACATTCAACATGAAGGTAGTAAAGGCAAAGTTAGGAAAGTATTCCCACCCCAAAAAAAATCCAGGAAGGATGGATCACTTCAGAAATGAACAATTACCAGACATCAGAGTGTGTTGTGAAGACCCCATCCTTCAGCGACTCTGGTGACATCCATCGAACAGGCAGTAGTCCCTTACCCCCTTTCCGGTAATAATCAGTTTCATAGATATCTCTCGTCATCCCAAAATCTGCCACAAAAAGAGGTACATATTTGGCAATAAGCTTTTGTTACTTAAAACGGTGCAATGGATCTGGAAGTGACATTACATTCCTATTCAATATCTGAAATATGCAGAAGGTTCAAATCAATTCAGGTTCTTACAATCCAACAATACGAGTGTAATGTCACTGGGGTAAATAGCAAGAGAGGGAGATAGAAAGACAGAATGAAAGAAAACATAAAAAAGCAGAAAAAGACAAGGAGAGAAAAGAAAAAGCACAGAGACCGAAGGAGAGAGGGATAGGCAAAAAGAAAAAGAGAAAAACTGAGAAAGAAAGAAGCGAGAGACAATAAATGAACACAAGTGCAAAAGAACGAGAGAATAAGCGAAACAACAGAACAATAAAAAAATCCTGTAAAAATTTGAGCACCAGAGTGAGAGAGAGGGAGCAACACGCACCTCCAATCTTTACAGTGTAGTCCTCTGTCACCATACAGTTTCGAGCCGCTAAATCTCTATGAACAAACTTGTTAGCGTTGAGGTAAGACATTCCATCAGCGATCTCGCCTGCCATCTGAATCATTTTCTTCAGGGTTGGTGGCGGCTGCCCCGGGTTATTCTATTGAATACGCAGATCATAATGACATTTAATGCTCCTGAGTGTAATGTGGTAAACCACCACCTTGGTTGGAACAATGACGCTTATTTTGACATCGCTGGTGCAGAGCAAGCGTCTGCAAAGCTTAAAATGGTGTGCAGGACACTCACCTCTGCGTCCGGGCGCAGCGAGCGTAGGTAGCTCTTTAGGTCTCCACGAGTCATCAGTTCCATGATAACCAGCGTCGGCTGGCCCTGGGATACCACACCGAGCAAGCGAACCTGGTGTGGAAAAGGTAGTTCATCAACCAGCAGTTACTGCTGCAAATGTAGGAAGTAACCCCTTAACCAACAGCACTGTAGTTCTATCTGCCATTTAATGTAACTACATTGCAACAACACTATCCCTTTAAGGAGCATCGTTTTTTTTGTGTAACACCTACAACTGCAGTCTAGCCTCCAGCTTCGTGACGTTCACAGCCTGGAGACAAGGTTCCACAATCCCAGCACAGAATAATGTTTCTAAATTATATAAACAATGTGTCCAAACACTCCAGAATCAGAAAGTGGAAAAGTACATAGGAGGCAGGATCTATTTATAAGGAGAATAAACTAAACGAGAAGAATAAAATCGCACCGGAGATAGTGTTCTAACTTTTTGCCATTTCTTGCATTTCTTTGCATCACTTTCAGCTTTCCCATTGGAAATGGCTCTGATTTGACCCGATCAAAGGTGAACTGAACAGATAAGACAAGTTTCCCATCGCATAGATCCAACCTAATTTTAATTCTCTCCTTTAACAACAAGCCACTATATTTTCTTCTGCACGTTTGTGTAATCACAATTACAATATCCTCTCAGTGCACCTGACTTGCAAATCGGCACTATGTGTCAAAACCAGAATCAGAAATAAAAGAACAGAAGGAAGCAATTCAGCCCATCAAGCCTAAACCAAATGCCACTGGAGCCATCTACTCTGATCCAAATTCTCTGCTCCTTCCCTGCATCCTTTTAAACTATCTTCTCTTCAAATGTTTATCCAATTCTTTTAAATGTAATTTAATGGTCTTATCCTCAATAGGTGCTTGTGGCAAAGCAATCCACAATTCTAATAACCCTCTATATTTAAAAAAAATGTAAGTAACCTACCACACTGCTGCGTTGCTTATAGCACAATGCCTTGGAACATCTTCCCGACATGAAAGGCACTATACAAATGTAATTTTGTATTGTATCCTATGGACAGATATCTGGACTGACGAGCTGGCTTCCTTTGCTAAAAAATGCCCAATTTCCAGGCAGTAAGGTCGCTGCTGATGTCTTCCTACGCGTTGCACTCAATGACAGTAAGTACCACTGGTCCTTTCTGTGCACTTAACAAGCAGAAGGTTCCACTGACACCTCTTCATGAAGGAATTGAGATCAGCAGCATTTTGACCAAAGGACGAAAGTGATGACATAAGCAGCACCCAAGAAATCAGCCAATTTTTAACATGGTTGTCTCTGCAATACTGGACTCTTAGTAATCTCAGTAAAATGAAGGTCCTGCCATACTTGGGTTTAGGAACAAAGGTATTAATGGAATATAGAGAAAAGCCAGGGAGATGGGATTACAAAGTTTGTCATTATCTGATAAAGTGGCGTCATGAGCTAAATGGCCTAATCCTGTCCCTAAATTCCAATAACATGCTCTACATGACTCCAAAAGACAACCTTGTACAAAGGAGGGAGAGTTTAGGGCACTGTGTAATCAGTTAGTGGTCTGGATTCAATTTTCTTAGAAGTTTGATAATAGGGCTGCAGGGCAATGCACAATTAACAAACAATGTGACCTGAAACATCTTGCCCTCAGTCCAGTCCTAAAAATGCATGTTTTCTGGTTGCATCTGAAGGATGCAATTATAATGATTCAATTGATGTGGTCTTGAAAAGCTCTGAGTGCAGTATTTCGAAATTTGAACAAGTCTTTTTTGTGTTATGTTGCGATTGGCAAAATGAACGAAGATCTCCAGAGTTTGGAAAATATTAGTCCAGGACATGGAGCCAATCTTGGGAATGGCAATGGTCTGCGATTGCAATTCAGAATGAAAAGGTAATTTATTTCACTTCTGAAATTCCAACAAATGATCTTATTATAATAATATAATAATCCTTGCATTTGATATAGCGCCTTATCACATTGAGATGCCACAAAGCGCTTAACAGAATAGATTGTAAAGTGAATTGATTGTGTACTTTGTGGGTGAAACAAGGCAGCCAATTGTGCACAGCAGTGTCCCACATACAGTCATATTGACAAAATTATTATTATTTTTTTGAGGTGATTATTACAACCGGAAAGCAATCTGCCAATCGACTAACAACCAGGTTCCAATTTACCGCTAGATAAACAGAGGCATGTGGAGTAAGCAAACTTGCCCAACGTTTCGCCTTGCCTGGGAATCGAACCTGAGTCCTCTCGCTTGCGAGTGCTCTAACCAATAGGCTACAGGACTCCACAGATTAAAAGATAGGACCCAAATCTAGTTTGGACACAATGGTGAATCTTTCCTCTGCACTCACCACATGATGGCAATTAAATTCCTTCATCACCGAAGCTTCATTGAGGAACTCTATGCGCTCGCGCATACTGGCCGACTCATTCACTGTCTTAATCGCAACTCTTGTCTCCGGGTCATCCTTCACCACACCTTTGGCCAGGCCCTCATAGACCATCCCAAAGGACCCTTGGCCCAACTCTCGGTTCATGGTGATTTTCTCACGGGGAACCTCCCACTCATCTGGCACGTACACTGATAAAAAAAGAACATTGCTTAGTTATCAAAAAGGAAGGATGGGAATAGGCTTTGGATTTAGGTTACTCACTCCAAATCCACAAGGGATTATTGCTATTTTGATTTGCACTGGAGTGGAGAAAAAAAAATCTTTTGGTAGCAACTGGAATAAGCATCCAGTAATCATAAAAGTAATTATATCTGACCAGCGTTATATTAGAAGCTTGCATTTGCAACTGGGCTACAGATACTTTGTGACAAAATCACTGTTTATAAGTCTTTTTGTCTCACTAAAGCAAATTCCTACTTCATCTTCCAGTGTAGAATCTCAGACTAAAGAAGACTGATTATTGGGAAAAATAAAGTGAATTGAAACTTGGGCTTCATAGATTCACACAATTAAAGGCGTTTAAGCAAGAATAGGTCACTTTATAGGTAAAAGGTGATGTACCCGTTTTAAGAGAATACAAAGGTAGTCTAACATAGAAACTACAACACATTTGTTCTACATTTTAGATAATTCTAAGCAAGTAAACCTCAAAGACTGACTGAAGTGCAACTCCAATGTGTACTAAGGGCATGACCTCCCAGGGAGTGGTACAGTTTGGATTTTGGAAGATAAACTTACTATCTCCAGCGCTGAAATATTCCGGATTCACAGACGCATACAGCACTCCATTTGGAAGCCTGTCATTATTTCTGCAAAGCACACAAAAACAAGTGTTAGAGCTAATCACCCAACCAGCATTGAAATATCAATGGAGTCCAACAAAATTGATCCCATCGCCAAGGAAGGCTTCCGCGGCTCATTTAATCTCCACTGTGTACACTGCTTAAAGTAATAACTTGCTGTAGTGCAGATATTAAAAATGGGTTGCTTAATTTGGGGACAGAGGTGGTCATATGCTTACACACATACATAAACCCAGACACACAGGTAGCCAATCACACACAATCACGCTGGTACATACACATACATAGGCAGACATGCAGTAATATACATGCATGCAAAAAGGCTCACACACATGCACACGTACACACACATGCTTTAATCATCCAGACACCTGGACATATCTCAATGTTCTCTCTGATTCATTCATTTACACATGCATCTTCATGGCTTTGTCATCCACAAGAAGGAAGAATGTGAATTGCTTTACTGCTATGCAACTGGCCAAGAGATTTAAAAAGTCAACAGTTGAAACTAGCTGGAGGACAAAACCCTGCAGTTTGTTTGAACACCTGCCTGCATTTTTTCCAGAAATGGGCATGAAACAGATTAGCCAAATAATTGATTGCTTTTTCTTGGGTTTGAGGTTTCAAATCAAATCTAACCTCACCCAATGTGTAGCGTTTCTGCCACATTCTCTCATGGAGTACCTAAATAGATAGAGAGAGAGACACAGGCAGCCTTGTGTAGTATTATATTGGACAGCTCCTTGGTGGTTGCCAAGAACAAATTTGACTAGCCATCTACCACAAAGACACCAAGAATAGCTTTCTAACGTGGAAAATAAAATTTTCCAAGATAATTGTTCTAACTTTTAGTAAAACATTCTTAAAGGTTTTAATAACAATGCAAACCAATCCTTAGAATGAGCTGGATGGCTGAAATTCCACACAGGGCTAAAATTCCATCCAGCAACATTAATTTTGATGCAGGATTTCATTTTTGCAATTTATTTTCTCCCAATTTTGAAATAAAATGTATAGCTCTTACAGGCATCACATTCGCACAGCCAAGTTACATTCAGGTATTGTACTAAGTTAAGGTGCCAAAATCAACAAAATGAAGATTTCCAAAAACTGGTTCAAAGGGTATGTTGAAATGAGGTCTGTTCAATAACAACAGCTTGCATTTATATAGCATCCTTCACCGAGTAGCATCTTGGAGTACTTAAATACTTAGTGCATAACATGACAAAGCCCAGATCTTACCTCTTTTTGTTGAAGAAATATAATGTGATAATTAGGCCTGCAATCACCAGCAGCACTGCGATGGGCAATGCTATTATCAACTGTAAGAGATTATCAGGTACAGGTGCTGTCGAGAGAATTCAAAGAGGAAGAGTTAGGGATTGGAGCTCTTTGTATAGATTCCTCACTATTGTAGGTTTCCTTCAGGGAATTTATAGAAATGCTTTGAGACTAAACTCTACCTCAATTATCTGCTAATGTATAATGTATCCCATCTGCTGCTCACAAAGCAGTGTTATTGTTCACGGAGAAAGGAGATACAATTTTATCACTATATCAAAATCCTCAGTTGAGAAGATAAAAGCAAATGCCTAAAAGTAACTTAGATAAATATTTTGAAGAGAAGATATAAAAGAGTACCGAGAAAGAGCAAGCATTAGAATCAGAGTAGATATCTCGACAATTTTCCAAGATGAATTGTTCTAACTTTTAATAAAACATTCTTAAAGGTTTTAATTTTCATGGACCAAATGACTTCTTACTGTTTTGTAATTTCTACAATGAGTTTGCATTCACAAGGCTCAGGTACTCATATAACTTATGTCCAGGAGCTCAAAGGACAGATGCACTGACACTAGGCCCCTAGTCACTAGGACTAGGTTCCAATTGAATTTCTCCCTCATCCAGCTAACATTCCCATGCCCTCCACATCAAATGTTTTTACACTACAATGGTTTTTAGAATGCAATAACAATCTATTTGATAAGAACGCCCATATAATGTTGAAAATTCCTAAAGGGAACTGTTGCCGGGTGTAAAGATGTGTATGCCAATACAACAGCCAATTTTCACACAGCCAGGTCCCACAAACAGCCATAAAATGAATGTCCAATTTATCTAGAGAATCGTTAGCTTGGACACTGGGATAAACAATTTTTGAAATGTGTCCCGGGATCTTTAACAATCATCGCAACAGGTAAATGGGACCTCAGTTTAATGTCACAAGCAAAGTACAGCACCTCCAACAATCCTTATGTGGGGCTTGAACCTTTCCAACCTAGAGGTGAGACTGTTACCAACTGGGCCCAGTTGATGCAATGAGCCTTTTGAATTAAAAAATAGCATCACTTTGTGGATAATAATATTAACTTTTTAAATAACTATCAAAAAGGAATTGCTGAATGTAGCGTGGGGCCATTCAGACCAGAATGTCACAAGGTCAATTCCTAGTCTATGCTGAGTGTTCTGATCTCAACCAGAGTAGGAGTAGAGATGCTGCAATTAGCTTAAGCACCGCTACATTAAGTGGGTAGGATGGTGGGAAGTGAACCAAGGTTCCCACTCCTGAATGGCATTGCCCACTGCTGTAAATGGTGAACATGCAGATACTGATGAAAACAGGATCAGCCTCAACTATAATCTCTCTCCCCCACCAATCACCACCATTTAAACAGTGTGTGGGAACAGTATCTCAATCTCAATTATGATTTATCTTCCCCCACCCCCATTTAAAAGCCCTGTTGATACCCACTACCTTGGCTCACGCATGACAAATGACCACTTGAGTGAGGTATTGGGTAACACAGCACCAGTAGAGGTGGAGGAAAAGAGAGAAAAATACTTTCACTGCCTCCTGCCAACTTAAACCTAGGTGAACATAGGCTGTTATAAACAGACCTTTTGGAAATAAATCCCTGTTCTCCTTCAGCGCCCCTACCCCACCCCCATCAAAGCACTTGCATTGAACTGTTATTTGATATTGTGCAAGATTTGAGACATGTGACATATTCAGGGCCAAGATACAATATAAACAGTAACTACAACAAATCGAGTGAAACAAAACAATATGATTCATCAAGCAAATGGGGAAGCTGATCTGGATTTTTCAAGAACCTATTTACAGCAAAAGTACAAATTTGCATACAGCAAAAACACCAGAAATAAGTTACACACAGCTTGAGAAGAATGAATTGAGTTATACCTCAGATATCGCAAAACATGGGCTGTTCTGACCAATAACTACATTAACTACAGCTCAATCACGTGGTGGTGATGGGGGGAGGAGGGGGGAAGAAACTCTGACGAGGTGAGGTTTCCCAGATAAAGGGAGAAGGAAGTAACTGTAACAAAAATATATCTGGCCTAGATTTTTAACACTATATCTCAACCACCAGTATTCAGCACCAATTCTAATACTTCCATCTCTAATAATTTCAAATTCCTGATTAGAAATGTGAGGGGAGAAGTAAATAAAGGGGAATGAACAGCGATATAGATTTCTGCAGAAATTTTTGGGAGTCAGGTATCTGACACGTGTGGACACCAAGCTTAAGAGTATGCAAAGCAGATAGGAGTTCCACACATGCATGTGACTTACGCATTGAAATTTCACTGTGTCTGGAATGCAATGCGCACTCTCTCTCTGGAGGGACGAAGCCTGCTTAGCTAATTTCAGAACGTATTAGGCATCGTATTGCATTGTATTAGGCACAGACTGTATTTGGCTACTTCTTGAAAGTAACCAGCTAAAAACACATAGCTCGCCATTGTGAGCATTATCTGGCAAGCTTCCTGCTGGCTGATCAGCTATGTCATCCTTATTTATCCGTTAAGTTTGCAGGTTTAACAAAAGCTCAACGGGAAGAATCCCTGGCCCCCCAACGATTGGTCTGTCCCTCCAAGTCCTGTCATCGAGCCAGACCGACTGGTTTGTCATCAGATGTGCCCTGTAGCACTGCAGACCTGTCTGGCTCATCCAAAATATTGTGCCTCAGACAATGCACCGGAGTGTGTCATCCTAGACTGAGCTCTAGTCCTGATGCAGCGCTCGAATCCACAAACCTTCTGTCTCAAAAGCGAGGGTGCTACGAACTGAGCCAGGCTGACGTACAAATTAATCACACACCACTCTTCAGCCTAGGAACGTAATTTGACTTACGCTTGGCCTTGATGTAGAACATCACTGGCTCAGTCCAAGATCCATTTCCCGAGAGGGAGGTGGCTCTGACCTCCGCGGTGTAATTGCCGGGGCTGAGACGGTCCAGTTTACAGCCACCATTGTGGATCTTGTATTGTGGTCTGGAAACACATTTTTGTTGGACCTATGGGACACAAAAGACAGCTTTGGAAAACAAGAAAGAGACATGAAAGGTACAGATTGACTCATGGACTTAACCATATACAGAATTTTGGAAAAATCTTTAATTCAGTCTCAATTTGGAGCCGACCAAATAAAATCTGAACTGAAGAATTTTCCAAAATGCTGCAGGATCTTTGGCAAACAGAAGAATTTGGTCCAGCAGAGAGGGCTTCAAAGTCTGGTCTGCTGATGAAACAATGAGCTGATAACTGTCACTGGAGAATATTTTTGTGCTTGGACAGCTCAATCAATAGTTGGCACTTGGAGATGTGAATAATTCAGTATAACATTGAAATAGTCCTCGAGCTTCTACACTCCCTCTGGTCAACATTTTAACAACATTAGACCTGAAATTAAAAGGCCCCACCCTCGCCCGGCTCCACTGGCTCCCCATCACTCTGAGGATATTCTACACTTACCTCGTTGTCCCCGCGGTTATACTTCACTTCGTACATCAGGATGAGTCCATTTGGATCGACTGGTTCTGGCCACTTAATGTAAACGCTATTTTCATCATCTCCAGCCTCCCAGATCACTGGTCCAGGTATATTGTCAGATTTATCTGTAATAAAAGGGCAAATGTAACCATATAACTTTCCTCTGATTTTGTATTTTAAAACTTTCTTGCAATTTTTGTCTCTTCTGTGGTATTTAACCCAAATCCAACAAAACCCTACTCTACCTGCTGGCATGGTCCTCGCAAACACAAACGTGGAAACACTGCAGCCCAGTTTCAGAGCCTCGTGGTTGCAGGCGTGAATGTCTACACGATACATGGTGAAATGACGTAGGTTTGAAATCACAGTCCTGTCCTTTAACCAGACTTTGGTCTCATAGAAAGGGTAGTCTTGCTTCCTCTCAGAGTCTGAATGGTTAGCGGTATGCTCAGCCGTGTTATTAACCGGTAACGTGGCATTTGCCACTCCAAAGGTGTCCCTGCGTTTACGGAACGGCCTGTAGTAGAAATCAGAAAGCAAAGTTAGGTAAAGAGAAAGCAGGAGAGAGAGAGGGAGAGAGAATCACAGAGAGAGCATAAAAAAGGAAACAATCGGAAGCATGATAGCAACAACCGCAACTTGCATTTATGTAGTGCCTTCCACGGGTCCCGGAACATTTACTACAACAGAGCACGAAAGGAACTTAACCCATCCTGGGTGGAAATGGGAGGGGCAGGTCTGCCTATGTTTCTCAGCACCAGCAACTCCCATCTTGATGAGCACAAATTCAATTGGTACCTTTCAATAAATTATTCAGTGTCACATGATTGATTGCACATTACCGCACAACTAACATATGTAAGAAATATTAGAAAAAATGTCTTCACACAGAGGGTGCATGAAATGTAGAATTCTCTGCCAAGAGCAGTAGCTACGTCCATTTTGAAAAATGAAATGAAGAATATTTATGGGGTGGGGGTTGGGGGGGAGATAACAAGCAAGAGAGGGGATTAGAAGAGGCGGCTACACAGAGCAAAACACCAGCACAGACTTAATGGGCTTCTGAATGGCTTGTTTGTGTGCTGTAACATTCTATAATAAGTGGGAGTACTAGCAAATGAGTGAATTTATTTGCACTTAGGCCTGCAGGGAAATAGACTAATGATACAGTACTTGTGGATAAAGACAGCTCTATTCATTCGAGAGAAAAAAGGTCTCTTTCCGAAGGTAATGTTGTATTCTGGGTGACGTTGACCCGTTATGATTATCATGACTCGTTTTAGACGATTAACGTTTAAGAAACTTGGTCACTGTGGAGCACTGTAGTCACCAAATATAGTCTAGACATTCTCACCGATAAATTATGATGTTGACTTGCCAATCGGTAAATTTACCGACCTTGGTGAGTGATCGTGTCCAGATGGTCGCATGCTTGCCAGCACTAAGCTTTGGAAGTTTCTCCTCCTTCCCCCCAGTACACTACGTGGGGTGGGGTTGGGGGGGGGGGGGGGGGGAGTGGGTGGCAACTAACCCGAAATATCAAACAAAGAGCTGAGGCTAATACAGAGGTTTAGACACTGCACAGTGTAAGCAGTGAACCAACATCATGGCATTTTGAAGGACCTTTCAATGAAAGGCCTAATTGAAGACGTTCTATACTGTGCCGGTTTGATTGCTTCAGCATCAAAGGTGATTTGATGAACATTTAATCTTTTGTTAAAATCTGCAATCTATGACACAACTTTAGGTGGGAATGATTCAGTGCAAAACATGAACCATGTGCTATATGGACAATAAGCAATCCGGACATTGCATAATTAATTCCATAAACTTGGATTCTCTGGAGTGTTTAGGTTACTTAATATCTGTTCATTAAATACTTTCAAGTTCCCGAGTGAATTTATCCAGTGCATAGTTGAGCCGCACAGACTGGGAAAGCCCCAGGATTGATCCTCAGTCTGAATGAGCTAGCAGTTGGGGCTGCAATTATAAAAATCCTTGCATTTGATGTAGTGCCTAAAGTCTCAAAATACTTTATAGCAATTGACCAATTTATCTTGAGGATTGCTGGCCAGGACACCAGGAGAAACTCACTCTTCGTTTTGAATTGTGTAACATTATCTTTTAACATGTTTCGGAACTGGCAGTTGGACCTCGGTTTTAATGTCTCTGTTGGAGGATGGCACCTCTGACAATGCAACACTATACTGGACTATCAGCCTCGACTGAGCCCAAAGTCTAAATAATAATAATAATCCTTACATTTGATATAGCGCCTTATCACACCATCTCAAAGCGTCCCATTGACCCAGAGTTCTGTTAAGGGCATATAAGAGCAATTTGCAGCCCACTCCAGAACAACATCCTTTCAATTCCTTTGATCATTTTTGTACCATTATTTTCAATGAATGCTTTTTCTTAGAAAGTGAAAGCAGCTTTTCCTAAGAGACTAATTCCTTTTTTGAAAAAAGTCCTGTTGGCTGCAGCTCTAAAGGAAGGGAATTCCTTGCCTTTTCCTTAACAGCTTTTTGGCAAGGTGCTTCCTTGTACAGGCAGACCAGGGGAGCTGTGTTTACAGCATTGAGCTTATTCAAAGCTCATCCCCCGCTTCATCAATATATAGGGGAGGGAGAGTCTGAGGTAATGTTCCGTATGCCTCAGAGACCTGGATTCAAAAGACGACCCACTCCGTCTAAAATACTGTTTGCCATGTTGCACGTTTACAAATTATCTGATTTTGTCTATTTATTTTTGAAGTGACTTCCACTCCTGATAATGCTGTTCTGAGGATAACAGGTAATGAAAAAGTGCATGAGGATCTATTTCAACATGTTTCCTTCCCACCCGCCACGCAATGAATAAATACCTTGGCATGAAGATCGAGTTGTGCAGAAAATTCTCAAACATCTTCTGGAACATGACTTCCTCCGCCTCAGCGTCTAGTTCGGCCTGGGTTTTTGGGCACATGCAGCATAGTCCTTGGCCAACTTTCTCCGACTCTTTGGAATGGGATTCATCATCCAGGTCGATCGTCCCTACAGCTGGATGTCTATTTGGCAGCTTCAGACCTGGAGCAAGGATAGCACCGACTGAGTCAAACCAGTGCTGTTTATTTCAATCTGTAAAAGCTACATCAGTTTCCAGGTCCATGGAAGAAAGAAGATTTTGCCTCCTTCCAGAACTATTCTCAAGAAGTTAACAATTATCTTTGCATTTCACCGTAAAAGTAAAATGTCACAAAGCACGTCATAAATCATTTCTGTCAAGTACAGCAACTGTATATTTGTAGGAAAAAGCAGCAGATAATTTGCATACTGTCTGGCCTCACAAACAGCCATGAGGTGAATGATTAAGTTAGCTGGAGGATTGCTGTCCAGGACAACAGAAAATTCTCTCTCTTTTCCAATTGACTCACGAGATGTTTAATGCCTACTTTTAGACAGGACCGTGCATCTTATCCAAAAGGACAGTGCCTCTGATAAGGCAGTGCACCCCCAGGAATGTCCTGGTGTATCAACTTGGTTTGTGAGCTCAATCCCAAATAGGGACTTGAACCCCAAATCTGACACAGATGAAGTGTGCTATGAACTAAGCTAGATTCACAATGAATCTTGTTTTTGATCTAGTACTCTGTCAGGTCAAATCGGCTTGACAGATCGACACTAGAAAATAAAGATCTAATAAAACATATCTTAACTACAATTTTACTAAACTGTACTATTTTATTGAAGCCCATACTCTCCTACCTTTTCTCCATATTTGTTACTTTCCCAAGTATCTATCCACCATGCCATCCTGCCTGCCACCCTGCCCCCATTCTTTGGCTTTGCTGGTGGCATCACAGCTCATTCCTTTACCTTTGTGGCAGTAGTTGTGCTTGTAAAGCTCTACGTCCTCTGGTTGCTGCTGCCAACGCACCAAGTAATAAGTGATGTTCCCATTGGAAAAGGCAGGGGGTTTCCACTTCACCACCAGCTGGGTTGAGGAGTTGGACACAGACAGCACATCCAGAGGGACAGAGGGCGCTGGGGAATGTGTATGAAATATACATTATACACAGTGAAACTGTCACGGGTAAAAACAACCACCACTTAATTTTATATAGCGCCTTTCACATCTAGAGGATGTGAACTAACATCAGCTAGAGAGAATCCAGAATAAAGCAGCCAAATATTTCAAATTCATGACATTAACCCTCGACTCTAGCCTTCACTTTGGCTTGACAGACAGCTTTGTTCTTTACAGCGACTATTGTTCAAGGGCAAAGCCAGGCTGTGTGTGTGTGTGTGTGTGCAGTGGGGGTGGGGAGGGGGAATGTTTATGTAAATGCCACCTGAATTTATCCCAAGAATCCAGATAATATTGCAGGTTATTCAACATGCAGGGCATTAGAGGAGCAGCGACCCTGTCCTCATATGTTATCCGCTCACTCTCTTTTTCTACCAGCAGTCAATAAGCAGCGACCAGAAGCGATGTCTCCATGTTGATTGTTTTCTCCCACCCTAACCAAGGGAGGTATTCTAGCAGCGCTGCTGCCACCAAGACGGAGATCTGGTAATTTAGCAAGGATCCCTGCTGTCCTACTGGGCAAAGGTGTAGCCATTAAGGCATACAGACCACAGTGTTATCAGTTCTCCCACTGCTTTGCATTAAGTTATCTGATTGATGTCTGGCTGAGACATGATAATGGGCTTCCCCTTGCTTAAGAGTAGAAGGCAACAAACAGTCAGCCACCGTTTCAGCTCCTGGCCTCTCCTTGAAAGAGTACACAGATAAGGAATCAGATTTGGCCAGGATAGGCACAGGTTAAATCACCAACCCACCCTCATTATCTGGGCTTACATGCAAAAATGATCACTTGCACAAGGGACCAGAGGGAAGCTAGTTTCCATGGACTTGTAATGAAGGCACAGATTTTGCTGAGATACAACACAACAACAGCTTGACACCATACATGGGGGTGTTGGGGAGGTGACTGTACACAGTCAAAGACGTAGGCTTTTAGGCAGCTTTTAAAGGCTGATAGAGAGGGGGGTAAGATAGAGCGGCTGAGGTAAGGAGTTCCAGATGGTGCGAGGCATAATGACGAAACGCTTGGCTTCTGATAGTGGGGCAGAGGATGTGCTCGTGGCTAAGTGGAGCTGGGGAAGCCAGAGAGGAGGTCATTTGAAACATAAAGTCTGGAGGCACTGAAGGCGTGAAGGAGGGTTTCAGTAGCCTGAGTGTGGAGATAGAGAGGGACAAGGAGGAGAAGGGAAATAGATGGTGAACCCAAGAGAAAATTGTCCAAAAATCCAGCTGATTATTCTGGTGAAATGGCACTAATTTAAAGCTACTTCTTGGCCCAGTACAATGGTCAGTTACCAGAAGCGTTTGTTTTCACATAGATGATTTCACTCTTTGCCCCGTGGTTACGTCCATCTTCGGAGGTGGTGAGAGTGATGGCTTTGACAAAGATGGCATACTGAGTCCAAGGCTTCAGATTTTGCAAGTAGACTCCTGGCTCCTGGGTTTTGCTCTTGGGAAGATCTACATCCACCATGCTCCAGCTATTGGAGCCACAGGCATCCTGTCCATCATACTCTGTCAAATTTTGAAAGGGACTGGTGGAGGTGGGGGTGAGGAGAAATGGGAAAGAGAATACACTGTAAATGTTATTAAAAAGAAATAAAAGGAACTTCCAGCAATCTTTCACAAAAATCCATGAGATCAGGTGTGGAGGATATTGGGCAGGACACAAGGGAAAAAACTCTATTCTCTTAAAAAAGAATGCAGAAAATCTGGCTTCAGATTTGAAGCCGGCTGAATTTAAGATTTTTTTTAAAATTCAACACAATCTTATATTTTAAAGAAAATGGTGTAAAGTCAAGACCCTAACGTAATTTGATCTTGATGAATAAGCTTTGTATTACTGAGGTATGTACATAATTGAATTGGTATAAGAATTTCACAAGCCAATGTCATGTCTTACTCAACTCCTTGTACCTCCACTGAGAGGCAAGGCAGGTTTAATGCTGATCCTATGCAAAGAAAACCCTGCAAGCCCACCCCACTTCCCTGTGTAAACACGTTAACCCCCAACACTAGAAACAAGATAACCCAATAAGTTAATCTACGCAAATACTGGGTTACCAATTCAGTAATTGGTAGCCTAGATCATGCATCTGGGTTTGAATATAAACGGGGGCCTGGTTACCATGATCCTAGTAAGCACAGTACTCACGCTTCCTTGTAGTACACTATGAAGCTGATGAGGTCTCTGTAATCTGGAGGACGATAATGTTCCCATTTCAGTAATATTCTGTTCTTGGCTGTGATATTATCCGTGAACTTAAGAATGTGGCTTTCACCTGGTAAACATGGGAGGGAAAATATTGTTTTACCAGAGTTTTAAAACTCAAGAAGTGATTTCTAATATTACAAACTCCTGGACTTGGACTGTTCATGCAGGACATGACCTATGAGGAGTAAAATTTCTGTTGGTGTTCTGTACGGTATTCTGCATCACAACTTTTGCTAATGGGATTTTCTACTTCATACACAAACATAAAGGAGAAAATCCCATTAGTGGTCATCATCATCAATGATGCAACACGGAATGCCAAATAGAATTTCAACCCTCACCATCTGAAAAACTGACATAAGCATTTAGAGCTTGAACCAATAACCTTCTGGCCCAAAGGTGATAATACCACACACACCAAAGATTTTAAACACATGACTTTAAAATAATCAGTGATTTAAGAGATTTTGTACCACTGGGTACAGTGGTATCACTCACATGAAGCCCGGTCTCCATTAGTCCTATCCTGGTTGTCATTCGTGCCCTGTCTCCCCTTCACACCAGTGACCTCCTCCATACGGGAGATCTCCGACCGGCACAGCTTTTGATTGAAAGCGAAGTATATCTTGCCCTGTTTGATCGTCAGGTTATGACGGCTCCAGTCCCACAGCTGCTGCAAGTTCTGATTGTGCAGCACAAAGAAAGAGTAGTTCCTGGACAAGGAAGGAAGTCTGATTAGACCAAAAGCTGTACATTGTTATGCTGGTTTCATTCAGAGGCTCCAGAATGGAACTTTCCAGTGAAATTAGCAAAGAAAGAATTAGTACCTATTTCACAGAAAGTGCTTCACAATAATTAGTGTCACAAGCAGCGATTGTTTTTTGTAGGCAAAATCAGCAGACAGACAGCAAGGTTCAACAACAGCTATGAAATGAATGATCAATTTAGCAGAAGGCTTGTGGGCTGCATCTCTAGAAGAAGCTCTTTTCTTTATCCAATAGTCTCAATGGGTCTGTAACATCCATTTAAAACAACAGAAATTGCACACTAGAAATATTCAACACTGCATTTGAAGGATGCCACTTTCAACAACGACTGGAGTGTACTGGAGTGTCAGCCAAGAACACAAGTTCAAGTCCTGCTTGTGGGATTTGAACCCACAATCTTAGAAGCAAGAGTACGAACAACTGAGCCAAATTGATACCCGTTACCATTGGTATAAGAGGAAGGTAACTCGGTACATTCTGTAGAATAAAGGGACGGAGAGGTAGGGTAAGAATGCAAATGAATGTCTATCAAAGAAGGACAGACTCATTGAGGTTAACGGCCTTTTCTTAAACTTTGAGTTCTAAACAAATGTCACCATTGATACAAGGCTGCGGTAATCTCATATTATTCCAATAATAATCCCTCCAAAACAAAAACAATAATAAATTGGTCATTTTCGATCCATGACTGTTTGTGGGACACTGCTGTGCGCAATTGGCTGCCACGTTTCGCCCACAAATATACGGTCAGTTCACTTTACAACATATTCTGTGAAGCACTTTTAGAAGACGTGAAAAGCGCTATATGAAATGCAAGGATTATTATTATTATTATTTTAAACACTGCAGCATTGCTTTCCAAAGGATTCCAAAGTTTAGCTCACTAATCTTACCAATTAATTATGTACATTAAAGTATGGCAACAGCGTACTGTGGTCATTTTGTGAACCATGAAACGGCAAGTATTGATCACAGTCACATAATCTTGCACTACAAGAATTTTGTAGCTCTAGTGTCAGCTCCCGATACAGTGACTTAAGATACAGATTCTTGTTTTGCATAGGATGGGCAGTGTTAAATAGACAGCTTCTATTGAAAAAAAAGGAAATCCCTTCCTTAATGGAAGCTATCAATCGTAGCCTTGGCTGTTTCCGACCATCGAAGTTCTAGTTCTAGATTTTCTATCGTTGCAGTGTTCAAACATGTAAAGAATTGCCCTTTTAAACATTTAACTTAAAAGCACAGCCTCCTATGAGAACAATCTTTCGCTCTCCAATCCCAATAATAATAATAATAATCCTTGCATTTGATATAGCGCTTTTCACGTCTTCTAGACGTCCCAAAGCGCTTCACAGAACACACTGTAAAGTGAATTGACTGTATATTTGGTGGGCGAACGCGGCAGCCAATTGCGCACAGCAATGTCCCACAAATCGTAGATTGAAAATGAACAATTTATTATTGTTTTTGGTTTTGGAGGGATTATTATTAGGCATGTGGAGTACGGAAACTTGCCCAAGGTTTCGCCCTGCCTGGAATTGAACTCAGGTCTCTCACTTTCAAAGTGAGTGCTCTAATCACTGAGCTACAGGTCTCCACAATAGGATTTTATACTCAACAGTGAAGGGTTTTCAATCAATCAGTTGGTATAGCTATAAATTAACTTTTTTGTTCTGTATAAACCATTTGACTGTACAAACTAGTACTTTTGTTTCATTGCAAATGCCCATAAATCTAGTACATTGCAGTGTTGGGTGAGCCTCATCATATCAAAAGTGTATTAGATCTGCCGCTCTGCACTTTTAAAAGGTAATTGACAATGGCCTTGGATATGGTAAATTGTTCTTTCCTTCACCTCCTTTCTCTGGATTAGATGCCTTAACTCTTCTGCTCAACATCCAAGATTCACTTTGGCCACACACCCATTATCTGGCTCCTTCATCTTGATATTTGCTACTTTTCAAACTTCTTTCCAAGAATAATTTAGGAGTTAATCAAAAGAGAGAAGGAATTACTTGCAAACAAGTTTTGTTGTTTTTTTTTAAATCGGCCAACGCAAAAAAGACCAGATGCAAATGTAATTGTTTCCAGATGGCCAACAATACGGATAAACCTTGTTTACAGAAGGAACACAGCATCTGTGAGAGAATGTCAATTCTGAAGTTTAGGCACAACCATGTAGATCCCTTTCCCATTTTGGGTGCCCTGTGACATCACCAAATACTCACTGTGTAATGACAGCAGAGTGAATGAATCCTTTGCTCTGTCCCCAATGACGTCTCTCAGACACATTAAAAGAGCATCCCCTACTACCGTCAGTGTCATATTTGCACTTGCCCACATGCCTTTCTTTACCAGATTGATTAGCAACGTAACACAAGGTCCCAAATTACATGCACAAATTGTACTAACACTAAGTTATAAAGTGCATATGGACCAGAAAACAATTCAGTCCTTCGTACAGTATTTTGTGGTATTTTGCATGTGGCACAAAATGACTGATGCCCAGGTCCGTGCCACAAGGAGCAAAATAATCCTAGGGTTCAGGACATTACAAACCCTTGTGGAGGCACAAAGAACCCCTTGAGTGGGTTGTGCCCTTATCAGACAATTGTTATTCTATATGGAGAACTCTCAAGGGTTCGTCACTACTATCACCATCAGACCACCATAGTATTTTTTCCCTCAAACTGAACATCTTGCGACACTGGCTGTGCAATAAAGAGTCTTGAAACTGAATATTTCAAAACCAAAGTGAACAGACAGTCAAACTGACTTCATCTTTCCTATGACCTTGACCAGTCATCAGACTCCTTCCAGCAAGGTTTGCACACTTTGCCTCACAACGATTCCATTTACTGCACAACATTTTCTCTTCAATTTTGGCCTTACATTGATACATTTTTCTATTCCCCTTTGAATATTCCAACTATCTTGCCATGATGTAAACGCAGAATTATTTTTACTTCATAGAGTAAAAATGTACTTCCCTTCGTTCTGATTCACTTGAACAGCTGTAGCTTTCTCCCTTCCTCTTTTCATCTACCAATGTTCGGTTTCTTCCTCCCCCCCACCCCACTCCAGACATCCCTGAGTAGTGCTGGATCCATGGGTATTGGGCACAATTCAGTGTCTCACCTACATGGGTGATCTTCATGTGTGAGCTGCGACGGCAAGACTCAGCAGGTTTTTAGATAAAACCCAACCTGTACATATCCCCGGGGAGAGTACCATCTATTAATCGTGGTTCATTTTCCCTCACCCTAACCCAGGGACTGTCATGCTACTTGTGACCTTAGCTGAGATGAGCAAATTTGCTGCAGACTCAAGACTTGAATTTGCAATTCTTTCGACTTCATGCCTTGTTACCCACATGTCACAAGAGCAACATTTTTCAACGCTTTTTACGCAAAATGCAGCAGCACTTGGATTTGCTACATTTAGAATTTCTGGGAACATATACTATTGAATTCCACCACGAGAACCAGAAATGCTCCTTCTAGATACTCACCCTTCAGTTTGTTCTTCCCCATTGATATAGCGCAAACTCTTGAAGAAAGAGAGTGACACGAGGGCGTATGAATGTCGGATTTTTACATATCCGGTAATGGTTTCTATCAGCCCGAGATTGGCCTCCAGCTCAGCAGCTATATTATCTGGGAAAGAAAGACAAGCTAAATTTTGGTTCTTAAATACAGGCCGCTTCCTGTCTGTTTTATCATTCGGAAGCGCTCAGCGGGTTTGAAACTGCATTTTAGGAAGTGGCCATTCAGTCCACTGAACCTTTTTTCGTACAAGCTTTTGCATTTGACTTGTGCTAATGACTAATTTCCTGCATTTTCCTTGTAATCTTTTATATTTCCCAAGCTTGTGGCAGCTAACTGCCTGCGTCCACAGTAAGGGGTGCATAAGAAAGCCAGCGGCTGATACGCAGCGCATACAGAAGCAGTGACTGTCTGTTGTACCATGGCTGTGATTTTACGGGCCCCAAATACCGCTATAAGCAGGACTCTCCTGAAATTAGCTTTATTGACAAGCTAATGGCTGAATTTCTGAGATTCTATGAGCTGATGTTGATCATTTCTGGCTTGATGGCCATCATGAAGGAAAACAATTTATCTCCCCAAACCCATCCTCAACAACACCATGGAGCCGACATCAAATTTTGCCAAAAAAACAAGCGCTAGATTAAACACTGAATGCATGTCGAAAATATTAGAAAATAAACAAATAACTAACCCCAAAAATAAAAGTTTGCCAACTTACTTCCTCTCCGGATTGTGATAATCAAATTTCCATCAATGACAGTACATCCCTTCAGGTCCTGGGCAGCAGTGACAGAATCAATGGTCTTTGTATCCACTGAGCACACCTGGGGACACAGACCATCGCAAGGTGTGCAGATCATACTGAGAATGGAGGAGGAAACAACATAGATTATTCAGGTGGTGACATAGCCATCCTGGATGTTTACCTAATCTACTTATAATAATAATAATCCTTGCATTTGATATAGCGCTTTTCACGTCTTCTAGACGTCCCAAAGCGCTTCACAGAATATACTGTAAAGTGAATTGACTGTATATTTGTGGGCGAACGCGGCAGCCAATTATGCACAGCAATGTTCCACAAACAGTCGTAGATTGAAAATGACCAATTTATTATTGTTTTGTTTTTTTGGAGGGATTATTATTAGGTGTGTGGAGTAAGGAAACTTGCCCAAGGTTTCGCCCTGTCTGGAATTGAACTCAGGTCTCTCGCTTGCAAAGTGAGTGCTCTAACCACTGAGCTACAGGACTCCAGTGATATCACACCCTGTCATGTCATAATGATGCCTCAAATTACATATACTGTGACGTGGAGTGATTGTGAACGAATGCACCAGCCAATTTGTGCACAGCAATATCCCATAAATAGCTATGGAGTGATTGACCAATGTTACTTTATTTGGGGGATTGTTGGCCATGACACTCATATTGAGAGGGCAGTCACACGGAACCCCCCGGCTGCATCAATTTCAACAGCCATTAAAATATGAGACAAATATCGTGCCATCCATTAGATGGGACATTAAACCGAGGTCCAGTCTGCATGTTCAGGTGGATATTAAAGAACTCATGGCACCGTTCAAAAAGATGAGCTTCTCTCGGTGTCCTGGCCAACAATTTCCCACATAAAGTTAGTCATTCAATTCATAGCTGTTTGTGAGACACTATTGTGTGCAAATTGGCTCTCGTTATATCTACAAAATACACAGTCACTACACTTTGCATTAAAATCCTGTGATGTGCTTTGTTGTCCTCCTGACATGAAAAGTGCAACATTAAATGAAATTATTATTGGTGGAATCATTATTATTATAAGCCTTGTGTTGGTCACCAGTGAGTGATAAGAAGGAGGAACTCCTGCCCCTCACCCAGGAGCATGATTTCCATGGGCTGGAGACTGTTTGGGGTACGGAAAGAGGAAAATCAGGCAGGGTTCCCACTCCTGACCTCTAGCCAGAGATCTCCTTAGTGTAAAGAACATGTGTGTGGGTATCAAATGAGGACACATCAGGCTCGACTGCGATATCCCTGTCACACTCACATAGCTTGCCAATATGTGGCATCTAGAGCTGCACATGAAGAACTGTCACTTGAATGAGATATCGGAGGGTGTTTTCTGACATGAATTAAGGTCATGGAGAAAAAAATTAGCAAACAGCAATAAATCATTCTCGAAACCATTGTGACATCAAGATAGAGCGAAATAAAGTTCACACAAAAGTCCACGTTCAGCCTAGTTTACTTTGTGACCCTGTCAACTGATCGAAGGAAAGGTCATCATTCTGGTTGTCTAAATATCAGGATCCCTATGCACTGCCGCAGCTTCAAAGCCAAGCTTTAGGTTATCAGGTGTTTGTGTAGGTAGGGTAGCTCACTGCAGTGCACCCAGAGATTAGGCAGAATGAGGCAATGTCTCGGTTCCCATGGGAAATGTGTTGAAATGCCTTCACATGCTTTGGGGCAATAAGAAACAATTCTTTCTCAATTCTTTCCAGCAGCATTGCTTTGTGTGTGTGATGGTGCGTATGTGTGTTTATATATATAACGAACACATATACACACAAACATAAGAGAAACAGTGAAGAGCACAGGAAGTCTTTATCCTAATGTCGAAACACATCCTCAGTTGGATCTGTAATGTTTGTCGGGATCTATTCTGAGTATTGTTATCGGCAACAATATGTGATCAACATTCAAACAGTACAGCCTTTCCCTGACTGTGACAGCACTAACGAGCAGCATAAAATGTGAGAAGGGACATGGAATTTGTAACACGTTATAGCCCGATTTTTTGTAAAAAGAGAAAGAATGAGTTATATTTTTTGCCTTAAGAAAAGCTCTGAAAGAACATTTCTGCTATTTGATTTTTTTAAAAAAAGGACATCTTGTGTTCAAGGCAAATATCCGACATTTTGGGCATAAAGTCAACACAGAGTCTTTGGAAACAGGGCTTCGGTACAATTTGTGTGTGAAAGTTGGTAAAGGTCCCAGGTTTGATGCTTAGTGCGAGTTACTTGTTCACAACCACAGCAACAAAGAAAAGTGACAGGTAGGTGTCCTGATCACTGAGCAGTAAAGGGTGTGTGGTAGGTGAGCAGAGATACTTTGTTTGTGGGACACTGCTGTGTGCAATTGGCTCCCGCGTTTTGCCCACAGAATTCACAGTCAATCCACTTTACAATTTTTTCTGTGAAGCGCTTTGAGACGTCAAAATTACGTGATAAGCTGTATATCAAATGCCCCTGCCCACCATTCAAATAACCCTTTGACTCTTGAAGAATGGCCACTTGGACAAGGTACCAGAGACTGCTCAGCTTCCGTGGAATCATATCTTGGCAAAGGCACGGCATCAAGAGATGTGTAGAGAATATCAGAAAGCGGGGCAGGAGAGGGAGGATAAAGAGGCAGCTGGATTTATGCCAGAACACAGCGATAATTTATTGAGGTGAGCCGCTATTGTCTAAAGACAGATGGGCATCACAGAAGACAAAGCTGTGAGGAGCAGGCTATGGAGTTGATATGACAAACGATTAATTACCGAAATAAGAAACAAAACATTTCCGCAATTAATCATTAATAACCTGCTGGAGGTTTTAAGATGGAAATCAGGTTGCTCAGTAGTTGACCAATAAAAGCGGGGAAGAAGGGTGGGGGGGTGGGATCGAATGGAAACAATGGGACACAAAAGAGAAAAATATACTAAAGTATATGAAATATTAAAGTTATTAGCCTAGTGTTGAACTTGCACAAGACCTTAGCTAAGCCATTGTTGGAGTAGGATGTACAGTAGATTATAGGAAGGATTTTTAAAAAAGTAATAGAAAAGGGATCAGGTCACCCCTCAACCTCCTCAGTAGCTGTAAAGAAAACACTATGAAAAGGTTGAGAATTGACCAAATTGAGGTCTTCAGGATTACAAAGCCTTATGATAGGGTAGGTAGATTATCTCCAATGGTTAGTCAGCGAGTCAGTAATTAGAGGGCACAATTTTAAGATCATAACAAGAAAGAATAAAAGGGGAAGATAGAAAATATTTTGTTACACAGAAAATGTCTGGAATGTGGAACTGTGTCCTAAACCGCAAGTTGAAGCAGAGAATTTGTTTAAAAAAAAGAAATGGTTTGATTCTTCAAAGGAATAGGGGAGGGAACAGGAGCGTCTAGTGGTTCAGGAAAACAGAAATCCAGTGCTGACCTCATGTACTGAATGGCCTGTTACTGTGCTAACTCGCCCTACCTCAGCGATCTCCTGCTACCCTATTCCCCAGCCACTCCCTTTGCTCTGCCAGACATGCCTGATTCATACCCCCACCGGCTCTGCCTCACCATCAGGGGAACTTTCTGCCACTTTGCACCTGCCCTCTGGCACAGTCTTCCACCTCACCCCTACCGTCTCAGCTTTCAAAGCCAGTCTTTAGCCTCAGCCACACACACACACTCTCTCCTCCAGTCTTCTTTCCTGCTCAGCCTTTGTGAAGTGCTTTGTGACTCCTCTCTAAATAAGAAGGATCTTTCTATAACTGCAAATTACTGTAAGATCTTATGATTCCAGGCAAAGCTCATCATTTTATATTACTTCACATATTTGGACTCGGCTAGTGAATGTTCCCCTAACCTGCTGCCGTTGCGAGTGAATCCTGACGGACAGATGGGCAGACACTCTCCTTGGTGGATTGAGAACTGATCCTTGGGATTCTCTCCAGGGATTTTTGCACAAAATTCCTTGGTCACACAGCGCCAGCCTTCAAACTTGTAGGTCCCGGGAGGGCAGGTGGCCAGGCACTGGCCTTCGTGGTAGAGGTTGCGGCAGGCCACGCAGGCCCTGTTGTCATGGGTGGCTGTACAACTCCCCAGGCACTCTTCATGACAGCATTCGCCTTGGTCCGTGCAAGCACGCTTGCCACACTCCTTTGGGCACACTGCAAACAAACCATTCAAAACAAGTTAGAGGATGTCATTTTACATCAACATATATCACTTTGGCTCAAATGATAGCCATCTGCTATGCAGAGTACTACATTGCAGAGGGGGTAAAGAGGTAAAGAGGTGGGGGGGGGGTGGGGGAGGGGCGAGAAAGGATTTGCATTTTTAGATCACCTCATCTCTAAACGTTTCAAACCGCAAGTGCAGCGATTGTTTTTGTAGGCAAAGGCAACAGCGATTAGCACCAGTAATGTTGCTCAAACGAAGTGAATGATTGATTAATCCGAGGAGGATTGTTGGCGAGAATGCAGACGGAATCACCTTTTTTTCCCCCCCAATAGTGACAATAGGGATCTTTAATGCCACTTGGAAACGGGCAGAAAGGGGGGCCTCCATTTCACATCTCATCCAAAGAACACCTTTGAGAATGCAGTGCTCCCCCAGTGTCAGCCAGGACTGTGAACTTGAGTGTTCGAGTTCAATGATCACATTGACCATAAACACACATATATATACTATACACAGTGCACATACATTATGGTACATAAATAATGTCCGGTGAGGTCTTGGTATAATGCTTTCCACAAGTGAATAGCCTGCAAATGCTCCTTGGATATTAATGAATAACCAGTTGGACGAGGTATTGGAGGACATCTGGCATTTGTAAAACCCCAGCACCTTGAGGAGGGAGCACAGAAAATAGTAGGATAATAAAAGATGGAGAATAAAAGAAATCAGTTAAGATCTTTCGTCTCAGTGCAGAAAGAATGCGAAAGTCTGTTCACACTCCCCCTTTTTTGGCTCTGTAATTACTTCCATTGACCCAGTCTGCCCAATCCACAGCTGGTTCAATAACACATTATTGCATGCAAAGGGCATGCCGATCCCTGGAGAACAGGCTGCAACTAACGTGTTATAAGCGCTTCTGTCTGTAATACAGTAAGGGACGGAGTCAGTCAATCTTTATGTGATGTATTGACATGGATCCCACCCACCTCTTAGCCCCAGTCAGCAAAGTGTGCTGCACATCTTACGATACTGCAAAAATCAAAAGGTACAATAACAAGTCCAGCATCCAGCATTAGGTAAGATTGGAAAATACAGGTCTGCTGTGCTTGTTCTACTTTATATTGGAAATGCACCTTTTTATGGGTCTCTCTCTCTTCTTCCCCCCACCCCCCAATCCTGTCTCCAAACATCTGTGGGTTCGTACTGGAGTGGCTCGCTCCTATGAATACTAGGCATCCTCCGATACATTGCCCAAGCATTCATTCTTCATTTCATTGTGAGAGTCTGGACAGTAAGTGTCAGTGGCTGTATGATGGGCAGGGGTTGGTGGGGGGGGCGGGGGTGGTCTAGGAAGCAAGAGTGCTTCATGTGTCAAGCTCCATCCTGTCATTATCCAACATCAACACCACTGTATATTACAGCAGAAAACTGAATTTGCTGCTGGGACAGGGAAGAAAGGGGAGGGAGCTAACCTGGCTTTGAGGTGATTTGCTTAGCAACGGATTGCCAGAATCGAGTCAACCTGCAGTAGTTGTCTCGATTGTCTGGTTCCTGAGCCATTTAGGTCGCAGAACTTCAATGCATGATTGATGACAGACCACCTGTCTGGCCTGGCTCATTGACAGGACTTGAAGAGGCAGACCAGTCACTGGGAGCAGGGATTCATCCCCTCAGTTCCTATTAATCCTGTAAGACAAAGTCCTAAAGGGTAGGATGGTCCTAGCTGGAAAAGCAGCAGGAAACTTGTCAGACAGCGCTCTCAATGGCAAGCTATACATTTTTAGCTGGTTTAGAGTCCAGCAGTATCCGAATATATACATCGGGAGTCCCCAAGCCTTGGCTCTCACCAACACGTGCCTAATACCAAACAACATCTGTTTCCCCTATTTAATCCAGCGAGTCTTTTTAGCTACCCGCATTCTCACCTTGCCATACTCTCACAGCAGTTTAGCTAAAAAGAGTTTAACGTATTATTCAGTATCCATCCCAGTTGGTTTATAAATGATTGTAAATGATGTTTCAATTTAAGAATGGTTCCAAAATGTCAATCTGGAGCAGTATTCCAAGTTCAAAATAGTTCTGTATTTTGTACCATGTCTAGACCCCTTAAGTGTCTCTTTCAGATAAAAAGGTTTGTAATTGAAGGGAAAGAGTACGGTTTCGGTTTTACACTCAGGTATGGCACGCACAGTACATTGTTTCACACTGGCTTGACAACTGCAATCATTTGCATTATACTGCATGCGTCAAAGCACGCAGAACAGAAACAGTCCATGCTTGAAGATAAGCTGTTTTTCAAAGCACTTTTAAATAATCCAAGGCTTTGTGGCCTATCTCTCAGTGCTAGTTTCGTCATTTTGCACTATTTTAAAGATTTTCAGTGAACATTTTCCTCTTCCTCCCCCCACACAAAGGTGTTGTTTAACTCTCCTCCTTCCCCACCCCCCAAAAGATTTTGGCTCACCTTGGGATGCAGTTCCATCCGAGTATAGACAAACTAGATTCTAACACCCCAAAGCAACAATGGTTTATCTTTCCAAAGGTGATGGTTGTTCTAGACATTTGTGTCTTTAAAAAGAAATCCATGGCTTTCATCCTCATGTGAAGCACTGGGGCCATTGTTCCTCTAAACCAACCTTTCCTGCTCTTCCTAAACTCCAAATCTCCTGACTCATATACTCCCTCTCCTTCCTACATCCTCATTCTGTTGAAAACATATCACATGATTTAAACTCATTCTTTCCCAGGACCTTAAGACTGGAAGTCCCTTCCTCCCACTCAAAAGACTTATTATTAACAACAAGTTGCATTTATACAGTATCTTTCATGTAAAATAAATGTCTCGAAGTGCTTTACAAGAGATAATTCATTAGAAAGCGAATAGAGTTATATAGGCAAACTTGGCACTTAATTGGTGCCAGCAAGTTTAAACCTCAAGCTTGGCATCTCTTATTCTCGATTTAACTTATCCAACTGCCTAGTTCCTAGTGTCCTGCCCTGAGGGCCTTGGCCCTCCTTGTAGGTCTCTTGGATTTTTTTTAAAAATTAGGTCTTACTGTGCTGTAGATATTTACATTGGAAATGTCAAATTCACTTTAATCTTGGAGACGGTCTAAAACCTACTAAAACCAAGGACATTTGCCAGTGCAAAACTCAGCCAGAAAGGACTGGGGTCAATACTGATTCTACATTGCGGTAAGGACAATGTAAAAGGGAACTATTCCCAAGCATTTTCATTGCCTGTTGGGAATGGAGTTACTACCATCACAAACTGGTACAAACCCCAGCGCCATCTGGGCTACTAAACCCAAGTACAACTGTTATGGATCAAAGCAGCTCTGCTTGTTTTGCGGATGTGACGCACATGCCAGATTACCTTAGCAGTAAAGCAATCTAGAGTTGCTCTGGGTGGCCATGCTACTGACATTAATGTTACGCTCTGCCTTTCAAGTCATCTCTCCGCTGCTGTCGCAGCAGGTTCAGCACAAGTGTTTGAACACATGGCATCTTGCACCAAATTACCAATATCAGGTTACATGTGTTTGCACCTGTTGGGTTTTCCGAAAATTATCTGATGTGAAAGATGCAAGTATTAAAGTTTATCCGCCGTTTGCCAAATGCTGACATGCTGTATTTATAAGAGTGAAAAAGAAATCGAGAAATTCAACGCCAGAGTAATCGCTGCTTAATCCGACCAACTCTTAAATCTCTCGCAGGGATAAATCAGCTGTCCATGATGGTTGAAAGTAAAAGCAACAGTTCATCATACACAGGCTGGTGCTTCTAGTCAATTCATCATCATCTATGTTAACGTAGACGGAGGTCAACAATAGCAAAGTTAACTGAGATGTTAGATACCGAGACTTTGTGAGGTTTCCGCTGATCTGTAATAACCAACATTGGAGGAAATGGCATCAAACGATACACCCTAGCTTTATTTATCATTTATTAAAAGATCAGTGACAAGCTCACCTCACACAAACTCCACCTCCTGCAAAAATATATTCCCATCACTATTGTTCTTTATACCGCATGAAACTGCAGTTTTCCTCAAGTAAAACAGAATGGGGGCACTCAGAGGAAGTTAAGGGAAGATCAGAATGGGGCCAAGGGATGGAAAATCAAGGGATTGAAATGCCCATCCCACCTCTGAACACAAGAACGACAAGAGGTGAAAAGATGTTTCATACCAATTTCCGACCACTTCAGAATCATCTCAAGTTAATTTTTTTTCCACCAATTTTCTTCTCTCCTTTGAGGCAGGCATTTGACCCCCTTTTTTTCCCTTCATCCAGACTACTGTTCCACAAGAACGTTTTAATTCATCTCTCAACTGGCCATTATTCATGAATGAGCAGTAACAATGAGTGTTGACAGACTATTAGACCAGTGGGAACCTCATCTGAAATCCAAACTCGGCCTCATCTGATGTTCAAACGCCCATGCCTTCTAGTGTTCATGTGCGTCTGTACATACATACATCTTAACTGATGATCAGCACCTCCATATTTACTAAGCTTGTGTACAGAAAACTGTCTAGCTTCAAAACGCAACTAGCCTTTCACACACTTAAGAATGGCCATCCTCTGGGTCATCGGGTCTCTGCCAACGCCGTTCCCTGTGTGCTGCACATTTTTAATGCAAGGCAGCTTTACTATATCCTGGGTGAGATGCACCAATAAGGGTACAAAAAATGCTAAAAGGCTAAAGTATTGCCTCAATGTACAGATACAATATTAGCCTTAAGAAATATTAAAGGAGTTCTTTGAATACTAGAGTAGGCAGACTTGCCAATAAATGGAGTATTACTTTGTACAATTGCCAAACTCAGATTTCCAGTTCATAACCCTGGCAACAAGAAGCAAAGCAGCATTTCCTAGAAGCTGGCATGTAACTAATGTACAATGATTGAAGATCTTACAGCAGACTCTTCTTTTGGAAAGTAAGCGATTAACCATTTCTGCCACCTTCCTAGTGTTCTTTACTT